GGGGGGGGGATGGTGGTTGCAGGGGTGAGTGGTTGGGGGAATGCAGGACAATAACGTAGATTTTGAAAATACTGCAAGCATCAGGCAGGTCTATTATTCAGGCTACGGCCACCAGAGCTGGGGAAATCTAGTAATGTGACTGATATTCAGGAAGTGAGAGGGTGGAGGTTGTGATGAAAAATGAAACATCCACATGATATGGTAAAAACAGGACAGATTAAATGATAAAACAGTCCATGTCTCAAGGCCAAAGACAGTGGTATGGAGACAAGTGAAGCAATAAAATCTGTACCTTGGGGGAGATGTGTATGCAGGGAAACAAAGAGCTACCTTCTGAAAGTGAATGTAACAACAGATAAGAAGAGACAAACAAAACCAGCCAAGAAAAATGTCTCAAAATCGGGACAGATGTTACAGGCTAAAATTGAACTCAAAACTAAGTCCAGAAGTCTGCAGAGTGTCACCCAAAAGGTGGGCTTGTGTTGAACTCATTTAAACATTGCAGCTATCAAAGACAAAGAGGACAGAGTGGCAACAAAGTGAAGAAATAAAATGCCACCCTCTCCAAATCACTCGATCCATATTGAACACATCTCTAACTTTGCCCCGTTTTGAAGAAAGTTCAAATTCCTGAAAGATTAGCCCTGTTTTCCTCTCATAGATGCTGCTGCATATTGCTAGTACTTCGAATGATTCCAGGGTTCTTACCTGGAGGACCAGACCAGCTCATAATCCCTTTCTGGGACAGGACATAGCTTTGTTCTTATCAGATTATTTAATTAGCTAAAGAGACAATAATGTTGCTCATTAAATACCATGTTATTTTAAACAGCAGGATAGAACTGACATCATTTGGTCTGTAAATATAACATTTTTTCCTTATTATTAAGCAAATCCACACTTTGCTATCTACCTCCCTGAATTTCATGTCAAAACAAAGTTGGCAAAATGTATTAATCAATGAATTATTACTTACTGATTTTAAATGGGATTAAGATCAAAGCACTGTGCTAAATACAATCGCTCACATTACCCAGTAAGGATCATGATGTTAACTCTTTCTAGCCAGCAAGTTTTTAAGGAACGCGATTTAAAACATTTACACTTTGAAAATGTGGCAGCTTTGTCATTCTTAGTCTAGTTTCTGGCCTCAGGGTAATGTTTGTGCTCAGAACTGGGAACAAACAACCAAAGTTAAAACACAAGGAAACCATATTTAGCAAATTGTTAGAATACGAAAGGAAAATGGTTTTAATAGTTGGGGAAATGGTGCTAGTGTGATACAGTTCACTCAGAGAGTCCAAGCATTTGTCACAACACGCACTGTTACATACAGGCTCCAGTCTGGAGCTTTGGAGAATGACAGTACAGACTCTAAACTTTGTTTCCATCATACTGCTAATAAGGAATCTCTCCTGTTCTTAACACCTGTCATTGCCATTTTGGAACATTTCACAGTTAAGACTGGTTTGGCATAGTGGCTCAGTGGTTAGCACTGCATTCTCACAGGTTTGATCCCAGCCTTGCATGACCATCTGTGTGGAGTTTGGACATTCTCCCTGTGTCTGCGTGGGTTTCCTCTGGGTGCTCTGGTTTCCTTCCACAGTCCAAAGGTGTGGTTAGGTGGATTGGCCATACTAAATTGCCCAAAGTGTCCCCAGGGATGTGCAGGCTAAGAAGGTTAGCCATGGGAAAATACAGGGGTGGGTCTGGTTGAGATGCTGCTCAGCGAGTCAATGGGGACTTCTATCAAGAGAGAGCTTTTGAACTGCACCCCAAGGTCTCGGGTCAGAGTAGGGGTAGAAAAGGACGTTTTCTCATTCACTTCCTGAGCACAGGGAATGATCATGATCTCAGCTGGGTTCTCTGGTGATAAGAGGATGTAAAGCAGGAAAGGCTCTACCTTTTGCTGATCCAGGGAGAGGCTAAACCAGGGGCATCATTGTTAACATCTCTGGAGTCAGCAGGCAGGGTGGATAGTGGGTGATGAAGGGACTCTGATCAGTGGAGATGCGGGCAAAGTTAGATCCAGAAAAGTAGCTTGAAGTGAGACTGGCTTCAAACACAGATGGCATCCCATCAAAAATTAAAATAGTTCCACTCATATTAAAGAAATAATATGGTGAGGTTAGAGAGAGAGAGAAAGAGAGAGAGAGAGAGAAAACAATGCTAACTGCGGATACAATGGCGCGTATGGAAATGATTAAAAGTGACATTGGCCACCTGTTCCCTCACACACCTCTACACTACATGTGGTTAATGAGCAAAATGCAAAACACACTGAGGTGAGCTTTGGGATGTCGTGGAAATAGTTGATATGGTGGATTAGTTTTACTTATAAAAAATACGAATTTTAATTTGATGTCATTTTGTATCGGTACTTTCATCAATAATAGAACATAGAACATAGAACAGTACAGCACAATACAGGCCCTTCAGCCCACAATGTTGTGCCGAACTTTTACCCTAAACCTAAGGTCTATCTAACCTCCACCCCTACCTTATACTATCATCCATATGTCTATCTAATAGCTGCTTAAATGCCCCTAATGAGGCCGACTCCACTACCCTCTCCAGCAATGCATTCCACACCCCTACCACTCTCTGAGTAAAGAACCTACCTCTGACGTCTCCCCTGTATCTACCTCCACTCACTTTAAAACTATGCCCCCTCGTAATAGCTACCTCCACCCTAGGAAAAAGTCTCTGGCTGTCCACTCTATCTATACCTCTGATCATTTTGTACACCTCTATCAAGTCACCTCTCATCCTTCGTCGTTCTAAAGAGAAGAGCCCTAGCTCTCTCAACCTTTCCTCGTAAGACCTTCCCTCCATTCCAGGCAACATCTTAGTAAATCTCCTCTGCACCTTTTCCAACGCCTCCACATCTTTCCTGTAATGAGGCAACCAGAACTGGATACAATACTCCAGATGTGGCCGAATCAGGCTTTTGTATAGATGGAAAGTCATAATTTACCAACGCATGTTTCACTGGGAGGGTTCAGGCGATAGCCTCTGGCACATTCACATCTATAGGAGCCTTCGGTGTTGACACAAGATCCATCACGGCATTTGGTGCCATCTGCACATTCATCAACATCTGAAAAATACGCACACTTCACATATTCAGTACAATAAGATCACACAGAAAACTCAAATCACCAGCAAAAGGGAGATCTATCTAAACTCCTACTCATGCATAAAGAGAGGGGGAGGAACGGAGGAAGGAGAACGAGAGGGATGGAGAAAGGACAAAGAGTAGGACTGAGGAGAAAGAAGACAGAGACTGGGGTACAGAGGAGAGGCAGACTAGAGAACAGCAAGGAGACATGGAGGTGAGTGAAGCACAAGAACAGACTGAGCTCATTTGTAAAGAACACTTACTAATAGTTCTCAGAAAACTAATGATTCAAAAATCTATCTTACAGAACACTTTGAGTATTACATTAGCAAATAATTACTCTCTCCTTTTCCATTTCCTTCCTACCCTGAAGGGCAGAGGTAAAGCTCATTCTTAATACTTCTACATCAGAGGCAATTCCAAGAAGTTTCATTTGGATGATTCTTCAGATGAAGGGGCTATCTTAAAAGGAAAGGTGGAGCAAGTTCAGACTACTCCCATTGGAGTTTAGAAGTAGTCTTTTTGAAACATAGAACATCCTGAAGGAATCCTCACGGTGCACAGGTAGTGTCCCTATTCTGAGCGAGAAGGCCTATTTGCCCCAGAAGTGTTCTAACTGGACAGATTGATTACCAAAAGAAGTCTAAGATTCTGAAGGGAGATATTGAGAGGCTGCTTCCTGATGTGGGGTTATTAAGAACTTTCAAAATGAGAGTTTAATACAGAGATGAGGAGGACTTTCTGTTTTAGAGGGTTATGAATCTTTGGAATGCCCTGTCCCAAGCACCTGTAGAGGAGAAGTCATCAAAGTTAAATTAAGGCCAAGAAAGATGGATTCTTTCATCAAGGATTCTGGAATACAGGGAGAAAACTGGAATTGGGGCCAAGATCAGGTCAGCCATTCATGACCTTATCGATTGGCAGAGCAGGCTCGAGGGGCCATCTAGCCAGGTCTTGCTTCCATTCCTTAAGCTCGTCTGTAATTAAAACAGTCTGCACAAGTCGCTGCTCAGAAAACAGTCTCATTCGAAATTCCTCATTGCTAATGATTGTGTGTTACCACGCTACTTCAGTCTCAGCTTGCTCACTAAACATGGAATCCCTACAGTGCAGATAGAGCCCGCTCAGCCCACACCAACCCTCCAAAGGTCATCCCACCCAATCCCTGTAACCCTGCATTTCCCATGGCAAATCCACCTAGCCTGCACAACCCTGGACCGTATGGGCAACTTAGCCTGGCCAATCCACGGCCAATCCACCTAACCTGCACATTTTTGGACTATGGGAGGAAGGCAATGGCCAAGTGGTATTATCGCTGGACTGTTAGTCCAGAGACCCAGATAACATTCTGGGGACCCAGGTTCGAAACCCGCCACGGCAGATGGTGGAATTTGGATTCAATAAAATATCTGGAATTAAGAGTCTAATGATGACCGTGAATCCATTGTCGGTTGTTGGAAAAACCTATCTGGCCCACTAATGTCCTTTAGGGAAGAAAACCATCCTTACCTGGTCTGGCCTACATGTGACTCCAGACCCATAGCAATGTGGTTGACTCTGAACTGCCCTCTGGACAATTAGGGATGGGCAATAAATGCTGCCTAGCCAGCGATGCCCACATCCTGTTAATGAATAAAGGAAACTGGAGCATCTAGAGGAAACCCACAGAGACATGGGGAGAACGTGCAAATCCCATACTGACGGTCACCCGAGGCTGGAATGAAACCCAGGCACTGTGAGGCACAGCACTAACCACCGAGACACACCACAAAAAATGCTATTACCCCAAGTCACAAAGGTCAGGCACCCTTCAGTAACACCTCAACCTCTATCTCACTTGGGAGACATAGCCAACTGGGAACATTAGGATTACAGGTTTCAAATTGCTACATGTAGATTAGGATTAATAACTCCATTCAACTCAGGCATTGTAGGGATTAGCAGGTTTTGATCTTTAGATAATGATCACGGGACTGATTTGGTGCCAAACACTTTCACAATGATGCTATTACTGCGTCATGCTTCAGTGAGATTTTGCACTCCAATCTTTCACAAAGGCCTCAAAGTACCAGGTACAAAAGCCTTAAATCTTGTATTCAGGGCTAATTAAAAGCTTTGTTTTCTTTCTGAAGCAAGCAAACATAATTGACTACAGCTCATTCTATTTCACCCAAGGCAGTTTTCAGTCGGATGAACGCACATGACAGGAAGAGAAAGAACCTGTCTAACATAAATTTAATAAAGCACGGGACTAGGCGTGTTGTGCAGGTATTTACTATAAGGTTACAGAAATCCTAAAAGGGTCTTCTGGGGCCTTTTAATTCACCCGGCTGGAAAATTTCATCTGCTACATCGAATTAGCACTTAAAGAAATAAAAAAGCCAGGAATTGCTTACAAAAGAACAAATATAATTAGAAGTAATATATATTTGATTCTCAAGTGTATGAACAGAATGTCAATGTTTATTAAGTATTGAGCTGAAAACTCTTGTGAAAGTTAAATAGTGCTCACAAACACACCATGGGGGGAAATGCTCCACGCCAAATATTTTCCCTCGTCTAGACAAAGTAACTCTCAGACGGCTAAGAAGTTTCTGCTGAAGGGTGCTTGTCACAAAAATTATCTTAAGAAATCAGGGATGATAGGTCAATGTTCTGAAAAGATGCACTGATGGTTTCCTAATCTCTACGGCCCAGTTCCAATGTTTCTCTCTCCCCAGGGGCTGTCGATCTGATGAGCACTTCCAGCATTTTCTGGTTATATTTCAGACTTTCAACACCCCAAGTATTGTGTTGGGGTGTGGAGGTGACTCACTCCCCATTAGTGAGAACACATTAGTATCTGGTTAGTGGAGTTAATAACTATTTTACTGACTAAATTGAGGATGCTTCATTTGATTTTTTAAAACTGCCAATGCCCCATGTAAAGAATTTGAATAAGGCCTGAATGAATATTAATATGTACTGTAAAAGAGGTCTTTTCTAGCCTCAGAGATAGTAAGAACTGCAGTTGCTGGAGTCAGAGACAACACAATGTAGAGCTGGAGGAACACAGCAGACCAGGCAGCATCA